CCCTGTAATTGACGATTTTGGGGGCTCCACTACTACTTCCCCAACTTCTTCCTCTTCCTTTCTTTCCTCATGCATGACTTTTTCCGGCTCATCAGATGGTTCGCGATCATAGTAACGGCCCCACCACATCGGAGCACGTCCATATCTCCCCGGCAATGGTGCAAAAACTTGTTCTCAAAATATTTTCACTCCCCGCATGTGTACGGTGTAGCTATAGTAAGCGCCGAGCAAGGTCGTATTCCACATAGATTGTCGGTAAAATAATTAAGTATCAAGATGTAGATGATTAAATATTATTTAGACTAATGCAAATTTGAATCGAGATTTTAATTATAAACTATTAAAAGATTGCAAAATAAATTCTAACACTAATGAAGGCTTGTACTAAGATAAATCAAAAATGAGAAAATAGATTCTAGGCTATGCTTTCCTTGGTATTATTCTAGCAAAGATTTCTTATTTTCAAACCCGATTTAATTCTACCAATCATAGGGATAATCGCTAAAGTAATTTACACATTTCTCTTGAACAAGTTAAATCGTAGATATTAATTGTTATCTATCACCTCTCGGCCTCAAGATGAACAACTAACTCACATAAGTTCCTAAGATTTTTGTTCCCTTGCAAGATTCTATCAAACTCTCGGTCCATTTAGTCTCTTACGTTATGAATTTCTCAATTCAAGCAATCAACTATCTCCTTTCGGTATATGCACAAATACGGGCCCTATATTCACACAATTCATATAATCACAAGAAATTGATAAACGAAAGATAGACCGAAATGAATAAAAAAAATCACTTCATAAAATAATTCGAGTATTCACAAATCCTAGAATCTCAAAGAGGTTTAGCTACTAAACATATTCTCAATATTCAAAATAAAATAAATCCATGAGTTCAATGAAGAAGACAAGAGAAAAGAAAGAAGAACTATTGTCATCGTTGGTTCTCAAATCTTCAATCTTCACTTTCTCGAATCTCTCGTGTGTTTTGTGCTTTCTCTAGGCCTCCAATGGTGTCAAAAGTCTCAAAACCGTGTTCTCCAAGTTCCTTTACACTGTAGAGCAATTATGGATCGAAAAAGGGAAATAATCGCACAATAATTCTATTTCCCATTGGTCACCCTGCGCGTCACATGACTCGTGTCACATGTCACACGAGTCGTGTGAATTTCCTCGAATTTGCGGCCAACTCCCAGACCCACACGACCCCTCACACGACTGGGTCACACGACACATGTGAAAAAGCCGCAGCTAAATACTTGTTTTCCTCATGCCACATGACTCGTGTCACTGCCCACACGAGTCGTGTGACCTATCTGCACCTCGTTTTTGCCGTTTTTCATCCCGATTCCATCTTTAACGCTTTTCTGGGCATATTTCTTGCAAAATCAACGACAAATATACCTTTATCATATATTAATAATTAAAACAAAATGATGCACAATCCCACGATAAACACGGCTAAATATTACACTATATCACTCATAACGCATGAAAATATGATGAATGTCAATTCACTTTTTACTTAGTGGATCACTGGTAGATCCTACAAGTGTCCCCAGTCGTCATACACCTCAAGCTTCAAGGAATAAGGTGTCGACCCTTAATAGCGGGATGTCAATTTAGGAGTTCGCATGAAGGAATGCAATGGGAGGCTCTACCCCTGAATCGTCCTCGTCTCCTGAACAAAGTGAATCAACTCTGAGATCGCCCATCTCGACTTAGACAGCTTGCGGAAGTCGACTTCTGAATATCAAATATAGAGAGTCGTCTTCCCCTAGTGTGATGTCATATAGAAAGTCAACCTGGTGAAGCCGACTGGCCGAGTCGCGTGCGCAGACAAATTTTTAAACCTTGCCTTTTTGGATAAGGAGAAGGGTTTTGGACATATAAAAACGCATATTGACCTTATTTTGAAGGGGAGAATGGGGAGAACACAAGAGAGGAGTTCTAGAACACACAAGAGAAGCAATTGAGAAGCAAAAAGAGGATCAACTACAAAGGGATCAAGGAGATTGAAAGATCGACGAGATTCCTAGTTTTTATTTCTTCTTTCTTTTTGAACTTTTATTGATCATGTTGATTTCTAATATGTCTATGTATTTGAATTCAAACATGAGTAGCTAAATTTCTTTGATTATAAGACATGGTAGTAGTTAATAGTTTGGGAATTTTTGGATGATTTATCATAGTTGATTGTTTTTTTTTTGAACCCTATTCAAATATTTTGTTCTTATTTCATGAATTGCAATTGGCCACTGCTTTTACATGTTTGATGATATTGTTCATAATTCGAGAGATGCGTTCAATATTAGATCTTCAATATTTGACACAATTTATTTGTTTGAATTGAGAGATTAGTAGATAGTTGTAAGGATTTTGGGTCTTTTAATATTTTTGGAGTTGAATTACATGTGTTGAGTGGAGACGCTAATATATGTGATTTAATCTACGGTTTTATCGATATTGAGAAGGACGATAGGCTAATTTTGTGATCATCTTATAGGGTAGATGAAGAAAATAATTAGTTGTGATATATTTGAAGGAACCCAACTGTTAATTGAACCCATAGTCTTAAAATCTACCATTCCCATATATTTTCTTCCTTGTTTTTGTAGCTAGTTTTTCTTTAATCTCTTTGATTTATTCTCTTAGTTTAGCTAATCTATCCAATTACGATCGTCTAAGTAAAGTTGACATTATCATAATCTAATACTTGATATATTAATTATTTGGTCTCTTGGGATACGACCTTGCTTGCCACATACTACGAGCGAAGCCGTACACTTGCGGTCGAGCTTTAAAAATATAGGCGAACACTGGGTTGACTTTCCATGCCTTTATTAGATATCTGAGGCTTCTTCTGGGTATTGGGAAGTAAAAAATAGAAGCCTTTGACTTTGTTATCCAAGCTGTTCGGAGCAGATTAATCAGTTGGAAGAATAAGTTTTTTATCAACTACTAGAAAAAATATGCTAATTAAAGCTATAATTAATTCCCTCCATGTGTTTGCTATGTCTAATTCACGTTGATTGCCTGGATTTGCAAAGAGATTACCATCTTACTGACCAATACTGGTGGAGTAAAGGGGAAGACTAATCAACAGATATCCATTAGAAGAGTTGGAACTTGTTGTCAGTTCCTAAAAACCAAGGAGGATTCAGATTCCAGGATATAAAGCTATTTGATGAGGCCTTGTTCTGAAACAACTGTGGAGGATTACCACACATCCTGATCTTCTAGTTAGCCAAGTTCTTACATTTGAAGTTGAGGAAAGCCTTCTCTTCTTGGTTGTGAAATAACTAGCTTGAGGCTTTACCTACTTTCAAGAAAGGTCTTCGGAAAGAGGTTAGATCAGGAAAAAGTACCAGAATCCAAGATGAAGATTGGGTGCCTAAGTTAGGTCTTCTGGCTCCAAGATTGATCAACATTGCAGATTCTCTGAGGTGGGTCAGTGATATGATTGAGAAGAAGGGTGGAGATAAGATGAAACTATTTTGAGGAATTCATTTTTAGAAGCTTACTGCAATGCAATTCTAGATATCAACTCTTAATCCAGGTAGAGAGGACACATGGAAGTGGGATTTGAGAAAAAAAGAAGAGTTCTCTGTAGCAGACTTCTATGGCTTTCTAATAGTTGAGAAAGTTAGGAGTCTAGATATTGCTGAGTGGAGTAACTCTTTTAGAATGGATTATGTGGTCAGCGAGAGAAGATTGAGACTGAGGGTAAACAAAAGGTGAAGCACTTTATCTAGAAGTGCTTCTCTGGTCTCTCAATAAGTATGAATTAAAAGAATGGCTTGCTATTGATGGCATCTGCAGATCATGTGGGGAGGCAGAGGAAACCATTGAGTATCTTCTTTTAAACAGCAGTAAAGTAATGAAGGTTTGGAAATTGGCTCAATTTAAGTGGGATGGTGTCATCAAGGAAGAGAGTAACTTCAAGTTATCGTGGTGGCAGGTCTGTGCAATTGATAAGTCAGAAACCTAAGGCCAGAATACAACTAACCTATATCTTGTGGTGGTTGTGGAGATCAAGAAACCTTTAGTTCTTCAGTGAGGAATTCTTACCTAAAATAACGATAATCAGCAGAGCATGGTTGAATTGGAGGGAGTTCTGCTCCTTGACCTACACTGACGCACAGTTGTTTTCAGCCTCCCTCTCAATCCAAACTTTGTATTTTGTTTTTTTTTTCTTTTTCAGTTTGTTTTTTTTTTCTTGTTTGGATGTTAGGTTGTTTAGTTTGTTAGGTGGTTGTTTCTTGTTGTTTTTCTGGTCGGTGCTTGGCGTTGTAGGGCTCTTGTTAGGGGGGAGACAGTAAGTTTTCAGGTTTGGTAACTTGTTTAGTGTTCGAGTGTTTTTGGTTGGTTTTAACCCACTTGGTTAGTGGTTCTCCCGCTGTTTCTTCTATTGTTTCGCAGGTATTAGAATGAAAAACAGTAAAAACAACATCAAATCTTCATTGATAACTTGAGAAACGATTTACAGAGAGAGTTTGAGAGGAAAGATTTCTGCAGTTTAGAGAGAGAGAGAGAGCAGAATTGTAGAGCCGAAAAAGTGAGAGCAAAACCCTAGCTAATCCTATTTATACTAAGGGCCAATAATAAAAAACAGTGCAGGCCCAATATGCTAAAATGGAAAATACAAAAACAGTTACAAAAGCCCAAATTACAAACAATGTCCAAAAGCCCAAATTACAAACAATGTAATATTCTAATAGCAGGTCATGTCGGTCCGTACTTTAAACCTTTTGTTCCATTTGATCTCTATATCGTTTGGAAAAAAAAAAAAA